AATTCAGTAGGCAGCAGGTGGTTGAGCAGGAGCGATTTCAAGGATTCGTATGGTAGTTTGTCGGGAACCTCGGGAAATACCAGGTTTTTCAGCAGCGAATACAGATCACGGCCGCCAGCAGCGAGAAATGGGGCGGGTTGGTTTTGCACACCACCTTTTCGAATACTGCACCATAGCTCGAATCGCTCCACTCATTCCTCGATCTCGGACGGACTGGCTTGCAGGTTCAATTGTTCAATACTTGAAAGCTCCATTGCGCGATGCCAATTTGTAATGATCGTAGAAGTAATAGTAGTGAATTTACGCACAGAATTCAGGACATGAACTACGCAATAGGAATCGCGGAACACGAATTAGAAAACCGGTGGCACTGGACCGCAATGGCTCGAACTCGCAATAACCCGCAGGATCGAGACGCAAGGAAAAAGGCCACAAGACAGGCGAATCACAAAGTCCTTTATTGAAGGAAATGAAAGTGAATATATATGTACACAAGAAAAGATCATTGGCTACCTTAGTTTCCACCAATAATATTGCATCACATCTTGCGTCATATTGCTCTTCTCTGCATTGTATCTGATTGGCTGGAACGGTGCGCCAATGACGTGTATCCGGAGACTGTGCACGTGCTACTGGCGTCAGCGCTCAAGGTCGATTGACTACCAATGTTCGGAAACTGTACCGCGCTGCTCCAGGGCAGGCGTGATCTCGTAGATCCGAATCACCACAACTCTCCTCCCTCAAAAGAGCCTCGTTGAATTGGCTTGCTCTTCTGATTGGCCTTCGGAGTGCTAGTGGGGTATTCTCGTCAGTAGACGTTCCCGGAGTAGCGGCTTGCTGTGTATGATCTTCTGTGGTTGTTGGCGGTGTATCACAGGATGGGTTTTCTTGGGCTTCGTCGGCGGGATCCTCAATCGGATTGGGATTCTCGTTGAAGTGGATTTGTTCGATGTGACGTCGGTGAACTGTTGCATCTCTTAGGTCTGTGATCTCGACCGTGACTCGACCAATCTTACGGGTACTGATTCCTTTCGATGTTCTCTCAAGTCGTTTCCTCTGAAGTATACAACTTCACTTGAATCCAGGCATCGTAATGAGGATCGAAGACTTCTGGCCTTGTACGGTTTTGCCAGACTCTCTTTGGTAGTAGCATGTGCGGCATTTCGGTATCGTAGTAGGAAGTTATCTAGGAGTGTCTCCAATTCTACGATTGTCTTCGGATTCGCAGAAGCTATGGCACTGCTGTCCGTATTTCCCCTGACGTGTTCTACATGGCATTTTGACTGGTTTAAGGGGAGATCATTTTCGATTCCCCATCGTCCGATCTCATTTAGGTTACGTTGGAGGATTACTCTGTCCTCATCGCTTCTTATACTGCGCCAGATCTTGACGTCGTCCGTGTACAGGAGACACTTGGTTGTTAGCAGTCCCACTAAGTCGTTGATAAACACTATGAAAGGGAATGGGGCCTAGTATGCATCCTTGTGGTATCCCACTAAGGACTAAGTGGTGGTTTGAAAGCTCCCTATTGACCCTCACCTGATACCTACGACCACTTAGGTAGTCTTTCAACCAGCTTAGTAACCTTCCCGTTATGCCACACTGGATGAGCTTGTCGCATAATTTTCGATGCGGTACCTTGTCGAAGGCCTTGAGGAAGTCTAGGAATACAACATCTACACTGTTCTCTATATCTGCTTCTTTGGTCCAATCGTCTGTCGCCGCTAGGAGGTTTGTTAAACACGACCGTCCTTTGCGGAATCCATGCTGCTGCGCGTTGAGGAAATTCTAGACTCTAGGAAATTCTCTTATTCCATCGTCTAATATGCTTCCCATTACTTTTGAAATTATGGAAAGAAGGGCTACCGGACGATAGTTTTCGGGGTTTGTGCGGGATCCCGATTTGTATATCGGAGTGACAATATTGGCTTTTCAATCACGTGGGAGTTTTCTAGTGTTTACGGAGGCCTTAAACAGTTGTTCGAGGGGGGCACTTAGAACCCCTGCGCAGTTTTTGAGAAGTACCGCCGGTATGCTATCCGGAACCGAAGATATGTTCGGGCGCAGATGAATCAGTTTAGGCTCGATGGTGGCTCTGTCAAAATGTATGATGGAGAGTACTTCCGTTGGAGTAAGCGAAGCAGAGTTAGCTGGCTGTTGTTCCGCGTATAGTGAGTCGCTTTCAAATACGGTTTCAAAGTGCATTGCTAGTGCTTCTGCGGCTTCTACGTTAGAGGAACTTTCAGTATTTCCCGTTTTTATTTTGGTGATAACAGTAGTAACTGACCTAGTCTGGGCTGTGTCGATAGAGCAGTTTAGGATTTTGCTTTGCTTTCTCGCATAGCTG